TACCGAGGTGTTTGCCTGTTTCACCAACATACTTTGCATTGCAATTTAGGCATGGTATGCTGTAGACCACCGCCGATTGTTCTGTTGTTGGTAGCGGGTCTTTGGGCTTCATGATTTGCTGTCTGATGGTGCATTCTGGTTTGTGAGCCACTCTCTCTTCTCACGCTCTCTTCTTCTTCGTCTTCCTCGGTAGATGATAAACGCGATACAATGTGTGGACCTCGAATCTTTACTCATATCGCTGTATGCTATGGGCGCACAGCCCTCCGCTCAGCACGCAAATGGGAGACCTTCGCGAAGCGGGAGTCCTCCACCTACGCTCAGTTGAAATTCCTGCACAGGGGCCTTGATGAGGACGTCCTACCGAAATGCCTTAGACATAGACCGCCTGTGAACACTGACCTTTGCCGACGGACGATGGCAGATTTCAAGAAGTAAATGATCAGGGTACTGATACGAGGCTTTCACGCTCGCATCCACAAGTACCGCCAGATGGTTGAACATCATTGGTCAACTTGCCAGTCGATCTTTGCGGCACACGAGCTAGAGGTCCTCAAAGCGGCAATTCTCGACAGCGCACGGCGGCACCGCAAGTTGCGTGATGACCAGTAGTCTGGAAAATTTGAGAAAATAAGTCCGCCAAAGCAGCCCTCTACTGACGGTGTCTTGGTTCACAACTTGTCCTCTCGTCGTTTCACTTAGCAACTACTAGCGGTTCTATCCTATGACGCGAAGTTCAGCATAAGAGATGCTCGACCAGAAGACTTTATTGCATCCTTTGAATCGGCGCTCCAGAAGTGTGAGGCAGGCGAGGAGTGCAAAAACGTCATGCGACAACAAGTGTCGACCTTACTCCTCCAACACAAACGCCAGATGACGATTTCTAAAGCAGAAGATCGAGAACTTCTGAAGATACGAAAAAGGAAGGATATCGTCACCCTGCCCGCCGACAAGGGGCGCTCGACTGTCGTCATGGATAAGGCTGAGTACTGCACAAAACTAGGCAACCTCTTGATGGACAAGGAAGCTTATGTGCCATCGACCGTCAGCGAGTTTAAAAAGCTCGTAAACAGCATAAACAATACGATCGGCAAGCTGAGGAAGGCGGGAGCTCTTACGAGAAGGGAGGCGTTGGCTGCAAAAGCCAGTGATACCGCGATGGCGCGCTTCTACGGCCTACCAAAGGTCCACAAGCAGGGGGTACCGCTACGCCCCATCGTCTCCTTACGTGGTACTCCAACCTTTGGGCTGTCAAAGTGGCTGTACCAGCGAATTTGTTTCCTTACCAAGGATTCGCAGTGGACAGCGAAATCGGCTGAAGAGTTCTTGACGCGCATCAAACATCTCGAAGTGGAGGCAGATGAGGTGATGGTGTCATTTGACGTGATCTCATTATTCACCTCCATCCCACCCGCGCTGGCTATCGACACTATTGATGGCTTTCTCCGGGAAAAGCATGATGAAACCGACCAACAGCTCAAACGAGCACACATCATCGAGCTCCTAGAACTGTGTCTTAAGACCTTCTTTACATTCAACGGCCAAGTCTACGAGCAAAAGAAGGGGACACCGATGGGCTCGTCTCTGTCTGGACTAATTGCCGAAGCAGTTTTGCAGCGACTCGAGCAGCAGGTCTTCAGCTCGTACCCCCCGAAGTTCTGGGCTAGATACGTCGACGACACGTTCGTTGTAATCAAGAGGAGCTAGGTGAAGGCTTTCAAGGCATTGTTGAACTCCATCTTTCCCGATATTCAGTTTACTATGGAAGAGGAAGTCAACAATCAGTTGCCCTTCCTGGACGTACAAGTTACGAGATTGACAGACGGGAAGATAAGGACAACGGTTTACCGTAAGGCAACAAATACCAGGCGCATCCTCCACTTCCGAAGCAACCACCCTGTTGGTCATAAACGCAGTTGTGTCAGAACTCTCTTTCAACGTGTTCAAACACACTGTAGCGACGACAATGGGAGGAAGGCGGGGATGAATTACTTACAGGGCCTTTTTAAAGCCAACGGCTACCTGAAGTCCTTCATACGCAATTGCCTCAAAAAGCCTCATTTTGAGCGGTCGAGTGGAGAAAAGCCCAAGTTCTGGCTCTCAATATCCTATGCGAAGAAGTATCAGAGGCAACGGCAAGAATCCTGAAACATTTTGGGATTGGCGTGGCTCATAAACCAGAATGCACCATCAGACAGCAAATCATGAAGCCCAAAGACCCGCTACCAACAACAGAACAATCGGCGGTGGTCTACAGCATACCATGCCTAAATTGCAATGCAAAGTATGTTGGTGAAACAGGCAAACACCTCGGTACAAGATTTCACGAACACCAACTTGCAATCAACCGCAAGGACAAGCTGTCTTTGGTATATAGCCACATACGAGAACTGAACCACAATTTTGCCTTTGAGAAGGCGGGGGTAATTGGTCGAGCCAATGAGAAGGTGGCCAGACTGGTGCTCAAAAGTTGGTCCTCGACTAGTACACTCAACCGAGTTATAGATCTACATTCCGCCTACCAGGCGCCGCGTACAAGGCTCGGATCAGTCCGGACAAGACCAGTAAGGCAAGCGAGCACGCGGGACCGAGAGCCAACGCTCACGGAAAAGAGCGGAATGGGAAGGCCAGAGTTCATGTGACCAAAGCCGAACACTGTCTCCCCGATGCGCCCGCGAAGCTGAATGCTGCTCACCTGAACAGCAACGAACGATCAGTCCACCGGCTGACGTGGGAGAGGCCAAGCGGCACGTTGATTTGACCACAATTACGCCGACCCCAAAGGTCACGCAGGCCTGTCAGCGGTCAGCCCCTGGGAGGTCTAAGCCAGTCAGCGGCAAACAGGCAGGTCAAAGTTCGTGCGTCCAGCACGGCTATAATACGAGGCAAGCGGCAAGACTGGACAACTCAAGACCGGCAAGTGCAACAATTACGCTACTCTGATGATGGAAACGAGGAAGTTTCCGAAACGTCAGTTCGAATACAATATGGTCCATGAATTCGCCCTCTCTAATTCTTCGTCTTCTTCGGGAGATGATGAACGCGATGAACGCGGGCTCGAGAGAGAGTCCATAAGGCACAACGGAACGAGTGAGTTCCGTATGAACGATCGGTGAGCGCCCCCTAACATTATATATATATATATATATATATATATATATATATGAAAATTAGAAGAGGTTCTTCGGAAAAGTCGCGTTGTACTCGTGAATTTTCGAGCTGGTGACACCAACCCGTCGTCAGACGTAATGGAAAACCTGGGAGAAAGTTATGTTGTCACAGTAGACCACTTAGTGTGATAGGACAGAACAGACCACTGAAGTGTGAGAGGGGGTTGGGGTGGGCTCCCGAGGTCATGGTAGGTCACTGAGTGAGGGGCGGGGAAGGGAGAGGAGACGGAGCAATTACGGCGCACCGTGCTGGAGGGGGAGGGTGGGTGGTGAATCAGTTGGAATGCGGGCGGCTGTATTCGCGATCGTTGATGCGTCATTAGGGCAGGGGGCAGTCATTCGTGAACGTAGACCCTCGTAATGGGCATTTATGTCAACGTGGCGGTTGATACTACCCGCATGGGAGTACCAAGCCTCGAGAAATTCCCTCGCTCGCTTTGTGTTGGCCATGGCGACGACCTCAGTGCCATCCCAATTGAATCGGTGGTCGTACTCGAGTGCATGGGCAAAGACGAGGGACAGGGGGTCTCGCCGCCGGATAGCTAGTTTGTGTTCGTTGATACGGGTGCCCAGGCATCGACCTGTATGGCCAACATACACGCAAGAGTCATTAGCACACGGGATGCGATAAATTACGTTCGTTTGTTGCTCTTTAGGGATTGGATCCTTCACTCGAGATACTGCTGCGCGTAGTGAAGATGCCGGTTTGTGGGCAACGTGAATACCCAAGCGGCTGAACTGCCGGGCGATTCTTTCAGAAGTTCCACGCATATATGGCAAGGAGTAGAATTTTCGCGTCACAATCTCTCCGTTGGGGGTGGGGTCTTGCGACTGTGTCTGGTGCCTGAGACAGTTCTTTACAAAACTGATCGGATATCCGTTAGAGCGGAATAATCGATACAGGTGGGCAAGCTCTTTGTTTAGGAGATCGTTGCTGTTACAATAACATATATATATAGGCAGAATGATATTACCGACAAAGACAAGGGAGACTGGAATGGCTATTTCTGGCTTATTAGCCGTCGTCAGCCAGCCATACTCACTCGTTCCGTTGTGCCTTAAGGGCTCTCTCTCTGGCTGACGACGGCTAATAAGCCAGAAATGGCCATTCCAGCCTCCCTTGTCTTTG